CTCAGTTATGGCAGTCAAGTCTCTATCTTGAGGCGTGATGCATGTACAGTTTTTATTGTCTTTGCACTGTGTTTTCCATCCAGGCTGTTAGTGGATATCTGAGATTTTTCTTCTATCAGGCTATCTTTGGACCCATTTCGCCTCTGAAGAGAACAAAGACAAATTAAAAATACACCGTTGAAAATATAATGAAAAGTTAAAATATTACTTCCTTCATCTCTTCCTTTGCTACAAGCTTAGCCTCAATCCTGCACTGGGATCTGCTACTCTAGAGCCACTCAGAGTCCTGTTGGAGTCAATGGAACTCCTTAAGAGCACAGGGACCAAGCGCTGGATCCTTATGCAGGACTGGGGCTTAAATATTAAAAACAGAACTGGTTGAATTATTTATAGTGTTCCTTTCAAAAATGCTATGATGTTTCTTTATACAGTGACTCCAGGAAAACAGAGCGAACTGTTACAATAGTGGCAATAATCAGATATAAATGATCCATCAACATTTAGCAGAATGGGATTGGTATTTGCTTACTTTGCAGGTGAAATGTAGGCTAAGGATGTGACAACTCTGATTCACTTACCTATACCAACATTGTGGGAGACTATTTGCATTTGATCACATACCAAAACTACTTTCCTTTTCTCTCCATTGGCCCAGGCCAGGATACTTCTACAACCCCTCCCTGTTACAGACACCCATTACATGCTTGTTCCTGCCAGCCTGACCTCTTCCCTTGCCCCTATCTGTTGTTCCTTGCCATTATTTGGATTCATATTCTATAGTCAGCAAATACCAAGACTAAATTATTTGGTATTTGGCCAATTATTAAAAACATTCATTCGTTGGGCATTAATGGCCTGACAGTGCTTGTTTAGCTGATGTGGGATACCCCAATGCTGCTAACTCCTTCCAGGACAACAGATTCAAACCAACCAGAATGTAAACAAGACAACATAGTGAATTCCTGAGTATGCAAAAAATAAATCTGTGAAATTCTCATTATTCCTTAAGGACTCAATCATGCAAGATTAATATTTACCCTGTGAAGAATTCATACTTATTGCTGAACTGTTCTTAATTCTTATTAAGAAAAAAATCAACCTTTTAAACATTGTTTAGCCAGACTGAGATAGTAAAAAAAAAAAAAACCCACAAACCCCACTATGATGCTAGCAGGCCACGTGCCAGCTCATGCCAAGGTCCCCATGCCTCAACTGAACAGACACATAGCTGGAATCTGTTTGGCAGTTAGTGTTTGGATCTGTGAATACTTGTAAATTGCTGCATGCATTAATCTGACTTGTAATACCTGTATTCCATATTATAATATTGGAGTGGATGTAGTGTGAGCCTCTGTGATCGTATGAATTGCCATACAGGAGAGAGACATTAATTAGTGTGAAGAACTGCTCTTCTCATTTAGCATGACTTTCAGAATCTTGGGGAAAGTCTGAGTATTGCATTTCAACGTGCTCTGACTTAGCTTCCTAATAATTTCATTTCCATAACTGACTCCATCCATTTGATCGTGAAGATAATTTATTTTTCTTGCTAAAAATGTCTAAGTTCTAAAAAGTGAAAAGTCAAAAACACTGTTACTGTTCACTGAACATGCTGGGCCAGAGATGCCTTCCTCACCTCTAGCAACAGCAACAAAAGCACCATAAGACACACAAAACTGAAACAAAGTCCAGTAAGAAATGATTTGCCAGGGAAGCAAAAGGCTTAGTAATCCACTAAATAATCAAGCTGACTACACCTGCATGAGTGCACCCCATTTTCCAATATATGCTATCAGAGTAGCACAGCTTTCCCTTGATTCCTAGAAATCCTGTAGCATTGCTGAAAAAAACTCCCAACAAACTGACGTTGGTACAGACAGTGACTGTTAGTGGCAATCACAGAGGAAGTGGCTCCTACTTTTCTAAGGACTCGTATGTAGGTAGAAACCCACCTAATATTTTTCCCTTGCCACATTAATAAATTATGTACTTTAGTATTCCTTTAACATTAGATTTTCATAAATAAAAATCTAGATGCTTTTTTGGACATCAGCTGCCACTTCTGAGAGGGAACACTGGGATAACATGACACATAAAAGAACCTTCCACTTCTTCAGCAAGATCTCAGATCTCAGAATGCTTTACAAAAAAAATCATGAAATAAACCTGAACACATCCAGTAAAGAAGGTAATTAGCCCCATTTTAGATGGGGAAACTGAGGCTGAAAGTCATGCTCCATGTCACATAACAAGCCTTTGGCAGAGAAAAGAAACCACAACTGGTTTTCCTCTGGCATTTTAACCACTAGGCCACACTTCCTCTCATAGTGATCACACTGTTCAGAGTAACACTGATACAACCAACACCTTCAAAGCAAACTGTACTTTGCAGTGAGACACTTAGTGAAATGACTTTTAGAAGTACCAGCATTTTGAAATTGAAATCAAGAAGAAAAACAACTCTGATCTGGTAGGATAGACTGTGCCTCAGTCTCACCTGTTACCATATAAACAGTGTCATCTTTGGGATCCTGAGGGTGCCCTCATCACAGAACTGGGTTGGGGCACATTGGCAGGGAAGCTTTAGTACTTTTGCATGCAGCTTGGGAGAGGACCACAATCATCACTGTCCCAAGTCTGCCAATTCACTTTCACATGAGAGAAAACAGAAAGAAAGAAAAACCCACAAGTTCTTCCTGTGGTAAGAGTTTGTTCTGGACATTCAGGAAGTTAAAATAATTTTAACCTTTTAGAGTGTATTTAAGATGTTTACATCACAACCACCACATATAGACCTTCCTCTGAAAGCAACTACTGTCTCCATATAGAGAGTTTTGGCTCACATGAAGAGCTGACTGGCTAATAAAAGATGCTGCAATTCCTGGGAAGAGGGCAACTAGTGAGCTGAGGATGCGCCACCTTCTCAGGTATAATACAGAGGGAAAACAATAGGAACTAAAAATACTTACTGGCTAGAGGGAGAGAGGTGTAGCAGAGTCAAATGGCCACTTTAGGACTGCACCTGTTAATCTCTGCCAGATTTAAAGGGCTAGCTATCAGAAGAGCATGCTGGGAAAGGTTCCTTCAGAGCTATGATATCCATGTAAAATCCTAGTGGAGAGAAGGCACTGTAGTTTTTACCTCGTTGTAGCTTAGGTAGTCAAAGTAAACTTCAGATGGGTGGAATATAAGGTTGATCTTGACTAGCTACAGAGAGGTAAAAACTACAGTGCCTTCTCTCCATGAGGATTTTACATTGAGTTACCTACCTCAATGTAAGAAACACATCTTTTTTGTAGCCTACAAAGGTGAACCCATACTAGTGAGTTCAGTGGAAATCCCAGGGGAAGAAGTTCCAACTTTTTAAGGACTAGGAATCTAGATAGAATCCTGTGTGATATTTTCCCTTATGTGCTTGAATTAAATATGACCTTTGGTTTTCTTTTAACATTATGTTTTTATAATAAAATTCTAGATTTTTTGGGGGACATCACCTGCTTCTTGTGCCTAAAGTTTACTGCCACTGTATCACAGCTGATATATGTGCAGTCTCATTTTATGACAACCTGTCTTTATAACTACTACCACCTAGGTTTTTCCCTTCTGAGTCCACCAGACCTCTCAAATGCCTATCAGCTGAAAGAGGATAGCTCTCCTCTCAGCAGTTAGAAAATAAGAGTTACAAACCTGGGACAGCTGCAAGGCACTGTGGAGTGGAGAGAAAATGTTAGTTCAAAAGTTGATTATCTCAGTGGGTGCCTGGGCACATTTGCTTATTTATAGGAATTGCCCTAGTTGATCTACCTTGTATTGAGGGAGGACAGGCTCCAAAAAGAGGAAATGTCTTCCAAATAACAGAAAGCAGGTAACTGCAGTATGGTACATTATGAAATTCAATGTATCTACGTTATAAAAATGAAGTTTATCTTTAAGCAGTTACTTCTACATAATGTAAAGCTTCCTGCCAAGTCTGTTTGCTCTACTACAATTGGAAAGCAAAAGATCAAATGTTAGATGTATTTTCCCAATTAAATATTACTCAGATAATTCCACCAGGAGAACACTCTAAGCTCATAGACTTTAAGGTCAGAAGGGACCATCATGATCATCTAGTCTGACCTCCTACATATTGCAGGTCACAGAACCTCACCCACCCACTCCTGTAATAGACCCATAACCTCTGGCTGAGTTACTGAAGTCCTCAACTCATGGTTTAAAGACTTCAATTTACAGAGAATTCACCATTTACACTAGTTTAAACCTGCAAGTGATCTATGCCCTGTGCTGCAGAGGAAGGCAAAAAACAAACAAACCCAGGGTCTCTGCCAATCTGCCTTGGGGAAAAATTCCTTCCCAACCCCAAATATGGCAATCGGTTAGACCCTGAGCATGCGAACAAGACCCACCAGCCAGACATTTGGTAAAGAAGCTGCACAATTACTAACCTGTTGTGAAGCTGGAATGCTGGGACCCTGAGCATCTGAGGAACGAGTCACAGGCAATGGAGGCACAAGGTCCGTTTTTGCACTGGGGAAAAAAAATTGACATTATACGAGTTTGATGACTATTGTGAAAGAAAAAAAGAATGCACTGAACAAGCTTGCAGTTTTAAAATCCACTTGCATTTCCCCCCATAGGATAATAACAAAGCTGGTCCTTATGATAACACTTTCATTTTAAGACAATAAACAATTACAGATCCAAAGGAGAAAACATGTTGCTTTTTCTCCTGTATTTTTTAAACATTAAGGGCAAATTCTGTGGTCTGCTAAAGGGCCATAGGAAGTTGGGGGGAGAGATAGCTCAGTGGTTTGAGCATTGGCCTGCTAAACCCAGGGTTGTGAGTTCAATCCTTGAGGGGGCCACTTGGGGATCTGGGGCAAAAAGCAGTACTTGGTCCTGCTAGTGAAGGCAGGGGGCTGGACTCGATGACCTTTCAAGGTCCCTTCCAGTTCTAGGAGATGGGATATCTCCATTAATTATTATTATTATTATTACCAGGGGAACTGGCATGGTGCTGCACTACATGCAGGTCCTCACCAGAGAAAGGCCACACAAGCAGACTCCCTTTGCGCACTTCTGGGCTGCGCTCTGTAGTGGCTCTCTGCATGACTGGGAGGTGGGGGGAAGTGTACAGCTAGTAGATCTGTGGCAACACAGATGTGCTTTCTGAGACCCCTGATGAAGCAGGAGCATTACTGAGGCCTTGCACAGGGGATAGGATTTGGCTCACAGTGCTTTGTCTTTTTGGAGATAGCTACCCATATTAGTGCAGAATGTCACAGGAACACCAGATCTGCCAGCACCAAAAGGGTAAATATATTGTCCCATGATTTTTTTCTGACTTGAGAAATGAACGCATTTTTTTCTGTGCGGGCCTATTCATTTACAGTGACATAAAGATAGAAACAAAGTCCATTTAGGTGACCACAAAACTTCAGCCTGGGATTGGAGTGTGATGGAGTTTAGTTAATAAAGTCTCCACTACTATAAAATAGGTAAGAAATCTGCCTACTGAAGTAACACAAAGGAACAAGTATAACAAACCAAACGGTTGTTTGCGGTGTTGTTGATCCCAGGATATGAGAGAGACCAGGTGGGTGAGGTAATATCTTTATTGGACCAACTCCTGCTGGTGGGAAAAACAAGCTTTTGAGCCTCATAGAGCTGACCTGAAGAAGAGCTCATTGTATCTCAAAATCTTGTCTCTTCCACCAACAGTTGGTCCAATAAAAGGTATTACCTCACCCAGCTTGTCTAACTAGATTGCATTCCCTTGAAATGCAATTGGAAAAATCTTGCTTTTTAAGTCTCCAAGTGAAAATGTTTTGGGGAGGCGGGGAGCAGGAGAAGAAGAGGGAGGGAATTGCAGAACAGTCCTCTTACAGGCAGAATCGCTCCCAACAGATGTGGGTGATCAGGGAAGCTCTGCACAACTTCTAGTATTGGCATGTGCCTATAAGGCACAATTGAGCTGCAAACTAGGAAACGGCCCTTAACACAGACCAGGTGGTCATCCTAAATTATTAACCTTTCTGCTCCAAGTGCTGAGGCATTTCTGCATGCCCACCCCCTGTCTTTTATTTAATTTCTAGGTGACATGTAAAACACAGTCTATTTCAGTAACCTAGCACTGAAATATGATATAGGGGCCCTTTATAGGTGATGTTTACCAGTTTCAGACAATGCTATTTTATTTCCCTGAATCTTCCTGTTCTTGAGATCCTAGCCACAGCGTAAGGGCCCCTCTGGAGTGTCCTGAGGAAGAAGCTCCCAAGCTGCTTGCTGCCATGCAGTAGTGCTGGGTGTCTGACAGTTAATTTCCAGCCAGAAGCATGTGGTTTAGAAATGCCGATGAACTACAGGTGAGAAAGTCCAAAAATGTCCCCATGTACACTCACTAGGTGTCCCTCTGTTCCAAGGACAGCTGTGATTTAAGCCTGTTGTCCCCTGCCATCAAGAATGACAAAATCCTTTATATCACGCACATCTTTGAGGGTCCAATCCAGCAAAATTAGCCTCTAAAATTGCTGGCCCATGGAATCTCTTCTCCCATAGAGACTGTTCCCCATTCAGGAAGGGAAGGGTCCCCATTCTAATGCACATAGAATGTGTAATTAGTACTCAATGGTGGTCTCCCTCACAGGGGAGGAGTCTGCTCCTCTGCCCAGCCCAATCAGCAATTAGCCCCTTGAGAATGAACTGGGCACCAAACATGAATGTGGGCTCTTTTCTAGACATCTAGACAGGAGTTTGTGGGGTAGTATTAGTACCGAGTGGAGGCCCAAATTACTGGCTTCTCCTGGCTATTAGCTCTACTGAGGTCCATCAAGTCAAATATGCATTCCTCTCAAACGATAACACTGGTCTACAATTTTTGAGAAG